GAGTAAAAACGAGATTTTTTAGAATCTAGCGAAGGTCCCTCAGAATAATAATATATATGGGGGGGGGGGGGAAAGGAGGTCGTCGAGCCGAAACGAAATAAAAAGAAGAACAACGTGCGACTTACTACTGATAGCGGTCGTTGGTGGTTTTCGGTAGCTGGTCGAAGGCGGCTGGGCTTAGGCAGGTGTCAGATTCGTCGGTCAGGTCGCGCACAGAATTTATTTTGAGAATAATAATGTAGACTCAGAACTCGGAGGATCGCGGAACTGTACTGTAAGAGTCGAGAGCTGCCAAAGAGGCTGAGGCAGCAGGCTCTGGGTTTATATAGGATTTTTCGGGGGTGGATCTTGGTTATGGGACGTGGAAGGAGATTTTGGATATTGGGTTCTTTATTGGTGGACTATTGGGAGGGGTCAAGGAGTTGTCTTCCTTATTGCCAACCCGACCATTAAGTCGTTGTCGCCCTTAGATATTTATTTATGGGCATCATTTCCTTCAGCGACTTTCGAAAAATCCCGAGTTTCACTTTTGGGTCAAGTTTTGGTCAACATGAATCCCCTTTTAGTGTCTCGGATCGTAATATTTTAGAAATCTGAATTTTGAAATTGCCGTCTGAAAGGGCCTGATCCCATCTGTTTGCTGTTTCTCCCCTTTTTATTATTTCGACGGCTATCGACCAGCAACAATTAGGGCACTTCACGTTTCGAGTTTCGAAAAGTGAAACTCTGGCAATAAATTTTTAGTGGGGAGGGGACTCATGTGTTGGCTAGTCGACATCCGCTGATTTCTAAAATTGTCGTTTCAAAGGGAAGAAAAACATGTTTCTTACGGTTTGTTGAAAGAGAGAAATCGTGGAGTCCACAGGACGTAACAATACATATACTTTACTGCAAGGGTCCTTGCACAATACTAGGCGATAGCGATAGCGAGAAAATTTCCGTTGGGTAGGAATTCTGTGTCTATTGCCTTATAATCATTTATAGCGTTCAGATTTTTCGCTTAGACGCGCATTTGAACACTATAATTCGTTGGCTACAAGGCAATTATAGGTACAGATTTTCAACCCGTCGAAAATTTTGTCGCTATTGCTATTACCTAGCATTGTACGAGTAGCTTAACATAATTCACATTATAATAGCGCAATTACAAATTTTATTTTTTATTAATATATTTTTATTTTTATAATTATTTTCTCAACTTGTGGCATTTGTATACATGTCACACACACACAAGGCCGTAGCCAGAAAAAAAATTCGGGGGGGTTCTAGTGGGATCAACTCGGCGAACTAAGGAGTATTATTAATTATTAGAAAATTATTAATTAATAATATATAAGTTTTGAATGATTTATTAAATGAAAAAATTATAGTAGACAATTATAGTAGACAATTATAGTTAATTATAAAATAAAATTTAACCGTCTAGCTTCTTTCGCGGCGAATAAATTTATTACGTCTTCTGTGTTAATATCAATTCTACGATGTATTGACATTAACGCCAATCCGGTTAGCCTTTCTTGGCCCATGGAATTTCTTAAATACGTTTTTAGACGTTTCAACGAAGAAAACGTCCTTTCCGGGGTACTTGTCGACACAGGTAATGTCGATAAAATTTTCAACAGCTTGTGAATGTTTGGAAACAGGTCTTGGTTGCATTCTCCGAGAGCCTCGATAGCACACGTCGGCCGATCTACGTCTGATTTTTTCAGCCACTTTGTCCTCCACAAATCAAATTCCGCTTGTAGAGAGTCACACTCCAAAAATCTTTCATAAAGTTTGAAATTGTCAACTTGAAACACACTCTCATTTTTGCAACACACGGATGGTATCAAAATATAGAGGGATGATAATGTCGATTTGTGATTTTCGAATCTGGAGCGAAGCTGATCGATGAAGTCATCCAAGAGTGGTATCATGATACTAATTCTAAAATATGTTTCTGGATCTTGTGTATTATAATTTCCTCTATGCTGTTGTCGTAATGCTATTCGTGGAATTTTTATTTCTTCATTTACAGTTTCGAGTAAATCGAGTGCGGTTTTGAATATCGTTGCAAATTTTGAACTGACATTTTCGCGAATATCTTGAACAGTCTTTATTATAATGTCGACATGTTGTAATGCAGCTACTAAGTCACATTCGGGAGATTGTAGGATTTTACAAAGTGACAATGTGTATGAAAATGGCATGCCTAAGCAACACAAGCTTATGATAAAGTCGCTGGCAATAATCGATCGCAGAAAAGAAGTCGCTTTTGATGAAGTTTCAGAATCCGCATCCATGCTCAAATCTTCCAACGTATCAACAATCGCTTTGAAAATTTCTTTAAATCTTATTAATCCATCATGGTTTTCAACCCAACGAGTCTCGCACATTGCCGTAAGGGTTTGCCATTTGGTTTTAGAATAGTTTTTCATTATATTTTTTTAAACAAGTGGTACGCTTTGCTGAGTACTTTAGAAAGTTTCCAATCGATTTTATAATGCCAATAGTATTTCGAATAGACTGT